GTGACATAAAATATGAGTTCACCTTTACCTATTTCATTTGCTTGCACATGTATCTTATAATTTGAAAAAAAATGTTTCGTTGAAATAAGCAAAAACAATGTCAAGCTTTTTCCTATTAGCCATTTTTTTTAAATATGTATAATAAACACTCTTAGCCTTAAAAACATAAATGTAAGATTGGAATTAGTATAATAAAAAATCAACTTGCCATGATCAAACGTATTTTTTCAATTACTTTTTGTGGAAATTAAAAGGGGAAGTAAATATTGGGGAAAAAAGCTTTATTTCATGGATAACGTCCCATAACATATTACTGAATTAAAACGAGCCAACTACGAATGTTATAGTCATCATAGCCTAGTGAATATTTATACTCAGTCAATCAAATTTTTTTATATATTCCTAGTGAGCATTATTCCTAATGTTTTTATATTGATAATAATATTGACTTGTAAGCAAAAAATAAATTATTTTCAAGTTATGGTAAATGTGTTTGCATAAATAGTCATTTCATTTGTCTAGAATAATGCTTTAGATGTCAGAATATAAATATTACAATGTTCTGTTTGGAAACAATGAACGCACTAATTTGTAAATATTGTTTATAATCTCAAATATCGACATAACATAACATTATATCTGATGAACAATATCTAAATACTTTAGTTGAAAAGATGTGTTATAGTAGAAAATACATTATAACAAGTTCCTTATATTAATTAAAACATGTTATACAGACTATTTTTCTAAACGTATAACCGTATATTTCTAGTTAATAAAGATATTTTTTTCGTTTGTTTTGCTTTTACATTTCTTTTTATCTTGGGTCTGTGATTATTTTCAATTTTTGTTTGTGTCTTGATTTTCCCAACATTATACTTGAGTTTAAGACTAATATTTTAAGTCAATTATGTATTATTTTTCCTTAACAATCCTTATTTTAAGAGTGACAATTTAAAAGAAAATAATTGTAGGTCTATGTAATAAATGGATTGCCCTTTTGTTAAATCGTTAAAAATTAAAAAAAAACTGGCTTCCATCGTCAAAATGTTTAATTTGATTGCGTAATTTAGAAGAAAGATACGTATTATTAAACTGTGGATTATAATTATTTACAATATACATTTTTCTCTTATGTTTCTCTAATAAATAATATTTAGTCACGGTTATTTCTTTTTTTACCTAGAATGTTCCTGAAAATGAAGAAGTAAACAAAATAATATAAACTATGAATCTTCTGTTTTCCATTGTTTCTTTTTAAAAGTAATAAAAAATTGCCATACAATTCAGTGCATTCCCCAACAAAGCACAACGTGTAATAACTGTGCACAACATTGTAATTATAGAACATGGTTATGATAAGCTAAAAAATGAAGGAGATCTTATAAGCAACCAAAACTTTTATTGACGTTAGATTTGTTTTCTTTTTTCAGTGCATTTAAAAGCGTGTTATTATAATAGTTTTTATATATTTTTTAGATTCATCATAATAAATTATAAGATTTTTAAAACTGTGTAATTGAAAATGGTACATTCCAGTCATCTCTTTTGTAAGTAATTTACCTGAAATATCTGAACGGATTTTTGGCATTAGAAGTTTGTTGAATTCCAGTTACAATATCAGTCGCAAAAAGATAGTTTGGCCAAGGTAAAACTTTGAAAAATGTTAAAGTTTTTGTGAACTATTTGTTAGTTGTTTTTTTATCTAGTTGCAAAAACATATGGATCCGATAAAAAATTCTTCTCTCATGTCACCAACCGTTTTAACAGTAGATACAAATTTGCCTTTGTGTGATGTTTCTTATAGCTTAGTGGCTAAAACAGAGTTGATCTTGAGCTGCTTTTTCATACCTATTTTCTGTGTATTTGGAATTGTCGGGAACATGTTGACCATTATTATTCTGGTTCACAGTGGTTTGAACGAATCAACAAATATAATTTTAACAGGACTGGCTGCGTCTGATTTATTTTTCTCAATCACAGAATTACTCAACCAGTGTCCACGGATCCTGTCGTATTTCAGCCCTTCAATGGAAATTACGTTTGATTCCTATTACAGCAGCTACGTTTATGGATGGAACCAGTATGCCATGTGTATAAGCATTCACATGGTGACTCTAATAGCTATAGAAAGAACAATTGCTGTGTGTTTTCCACTGATTACTTCGTTTCTTCTTACACCGTATAGAATTAAATGCATTACAGTTACTTTTTATTTGTTTGTTGGAATACTTTATATACCTCGAAGTTTCCTATTCAATGTGTACAGGGATTACTTAAGTTTAGTAAACGACACTGTTTCACTGTTACTCGCTACTGAATTTTACAAAAGTACTGGCTTTTATATATACAATAATGGATTTGTAGCCACTCTTTCTGTTTTTATACCAACAATTATTATATCAATTTGCACCTTTATGACTATATTTAAGCTAAAAATATTTTATAGTAACGTGAAGGCTATAACTTCACATAATACTATGTCTAAAAGATTAAAAGATTTAAGATCGGTAAAAATAACTCTATCAGTGTGCTTGTGTGTAATGCTGTTTGTTCTGATTCCCACAAGCACTTTTCTCTGCATTATAACCAACACAAGTATTTTATCAATGAATTGTTATTTACTTATACATAGTTTTATGTTATTAATTTATCAGATTAACGCTTCTATAAACTTTGTTATCTACGTTATAGTAAGCCCAAAATTTGCTAACGCATATAAAAAGTTATTTTTGTGCACCGCAGTATAATGTAGGACTACTTAAATACCACAAACTGAATAGATATACATACGCTAAGAACACGTTTGCCAATGCTACCATTAATATTTCATAAGATGCACTTTACAGTGTTTAATTATAAAACTTAAAATATTTGTATTTGTTATCTCGTTAAATGTACCTTAATATCCATAAATAAAAATAAGTGTTTTTTTATTCTAAAAACAAAATATAATTGGGGTCGGGGTGTTTTAGGCCGATTATATCCATAAATATAAAAATCAATGTATGTGTGTGTCTTTTATGCATTGCTATACCTTTATTATCAATATTTTAATGTAATTGCAAAATGATAACGTCCTTTTTTAAAAAGAATGTGTGTTTTTAAAGTATTTTCTATTGATTTTTTTTCAAAGTTAATGTCGAAAACCCAAGTTTTAAATCTGTTGCACGTGGTAAACATTTATTAACGATTGGCATTATGACATTTATTCATTTTCAAATATAGTACATTTTTAGTAAAAAAAAACAAATGGGTTTGAGTGTTTTGTTATGTTCTAGACAAAAAGGCGTAGTGTATTTTATCTAATTTTTTTTTTAAATATGTCTGAAAAACAGAAAGTCCTAAATACAATAGCTGTATGTGACACAACACAATTGCTCAAAAGAAAGTCGAGTAAATGTTTGAACATTAAAACTAATGTGTTCGTTTTTCAAAGCATGTTAATTTTTTTTTGCATGTAGAGCACTTTTAACAATAATCTAGAAAAAAAAATATATAGGCCTACATATATATATATATATATATATATATATATATATATATATATTACTTCATTGTTAAAAGGCATGCATGTTACTATTTAGCAATCATATTTTCATTAAGGTTTTGTTAAATGTCTCAGTTTTCTTCTTATCTTATGGACATGTAAAGAAAAATGTTATTTTTCTGTTATTTCACGTTTTATTCAGTATTTTCTATGATCTACGAAATGATATCTACAGTACATTTATTACTTATAGATAAGTATTATAAATGTATACTTTTCACATTACGTCACTAAATTATGTGTTCTTTAACTATAAAAGTATTTTTTAAATGATATAAAACCATTATGTAAAATATCTATATGTGTACTTTGTATCACAATCCTTACGTTAGATACTAAGTTTAATTAGCCAGCACAATTTTTGTAAACGTTTATGCGTTTTTCTTTTCTTTCCTATCTTTATTAGATAGTTACAAAAAAGATACAAATACGTGTATTAGAATTACAAATTCACAAACAATGAATTAAAAATATATATTTAAAATTTTTATTTCCCATTAATTTTTGCATTAATGTTAACAATTCAATACGTACGTCCTTTAAAAAATAAAAGTAAACTTGTACGAATGTATGCATATAATCAGTTTATTGCATATTTAAAAATATATTTATTTGTCTGTACAGAGCCACATATACCAGTAAGCTGTATACGGCTGCATATATCGTTAGTGTGTACACTGTTGCAGATATCGTGAGTGTGTACGAAGCCACAGACAGCAGTAGACTGTCCACGGCCATATATAGCGTTAGTCTGTACAGATTAACATACAGCATTAGTCTGTACACAGTTACATATAGCTGAAGTCTGTAAACGTGTTCAAACAATGCTGAAGTTTAACAAGTTATATAATCCCAAAAATAATATCTGATATAACCGCGCATGACAACCAACATAATAAACATTTACATCAGTAATACCAAATAGCTAATATATAGTTCGTTTAATTTGAAGTCCATTGAGACTAAACAGTTAACAATATTTATAGATGAGTTTGTATGCACGTAACATTAAACAGCTTCTGATGGTTAGTAAGTATGTGGTAATAATTTAATTCACTTAAACCAACGTCATGCTGTGTGACAGTGCATTTTGTGTTATCGCTTTTTACTATCTATGTAGTCCTACAGTTCAAATGAGCAGAGGCGTAGTGAGGGGGGGCGGGGGGGGGGGCGGGGGGGGGGACATATGTCCCCGGGCGCCGACCTCAGGGGGGGCGCCAAATTGAAAGTTTGAGGGGGGGTGCAAATGAAAAGTTCTCGGGGGGGGGGGGGGGTGTGCAAATCGAAAGTTTGAGGGGGGGGGTTGCAAATGAAAAGTTCGAGGGGGGGGGTGCAAATCGAAAATTTGCTCCCGAGGGGGGCGCCAAATTGAAAGTATGTCCCCAGGCGCCGGGAAGGGTCGCTACGCCTCTGCAAATGAGTAATTGGCGATAAATTGATATCTCATAGACCGAGACCTACGCGTTGTTTTACAGGTGTAATATCAACATGATCCTGTTAATTGTCTTAAGCTTGTGTTGTGTTTTGTCAACACCAGTTTTAAGTAAGTTTGAATTTTATTGAATTATACTCCCATGTGTTAAAAATAAAACTGAAATTAAAAATAAGCATTTTTTTACACAAAACTATAAAACCAGTTTCATGAAATCGATAAAAATAAATTGATTGCATTTATTAACTTAGATTTGATCAAGCATTTTTATTTTAGAAAAGTTTTCTAAAGCGAATTTTATTTGTTCTATAGACCATGTTTACAAACGTCAAATTCGATTCGTCTTGTAAGTTGATTATCAACTACTTTAAATCAAATACGAAGCTTTGGAACAGGGCCGCACTTAATGTTAAATTACCTATTACAGGTACAGTAGTTCGCTTGACCGCTAGCCCTACGGTAGTTGATCTGGGTCTAACGTCATTGACAGTGCGATGTGACGTCAGCGACAGTAGCCAGAACATCCTGTCAGCTGTTGTAGCCGTCATCGTGTCACGTTCCGCCAACGATTCCAGAAACTACACGGAGCTGGCGTCCTTGAACTTGTTCATAGGTCACCAGGTGCACGTGCTGACGTCAGAAGCTGTAACAGCTAACGGTTCCATTCACAGCTACGGTCACTCTTTTCTGGAACTGCACTGGGTCAAGCCTACATTAGCGCAGGCTGGTCACTACATATGTACAGCCCAAGGACCAGATGAAGTTGGACATAACATCAACATGATAGCCGATGCCTACGTCTCAACAAGACAACCAGGCAGTGACCAGCTCTTGGAAAGAATCCGGGAATTGGATCTCGACTTGAAGCTGGCCAACGACAAACTGGCCCAGTTCAACATGTCACTGGCACACGTCGCTCGTGACGTCACCAACCTGTCAACAGGCATTGAAGCGAATCGGCAGGAGATTCTTAACATTGCGGCAGTGAACAACAGACCCACGTGGTTGTTTAGCAGAAACTACGTCGTCGGCAACTACTCCTACTCTGTTTCTAAATACTACTACAGCAACGTAGCCACGGCTGAGACTTTGTGTAATATATACGGCGGTTATCTGGCTGAAATAGACGACGCTGACGAATACAATGTCGTCAAGAATTTCCTGAACAATCCCCGAGAAGTAAACTACGTCTACACAGGAGCCTACGGCGAAAGCCAGGAAGGTGTGTACAAGTTTAAACACAGCGACTCGCCAGTTTATTTCTACAGGTGGGCGCTTGGTCAGCCAAAGAACGGGACCGAGTACAACTGTGTCTACCTGGAATCTAATGTCGACTGGGAGATGACGGTATACAGGTGTCATCTCTATCCGCTGGCTAAAGAGGAGGTCCATGCTTTGTGTGAGTTTCCGTCTAGATTTAGATAATCTGACTGGTTCATATAAACATATAGTTAGTACTTCATCATAATACAAGTAAAAGTGTTTATTTTATTTCTAGTGTTTGTATAATTAATATTATTTGCTAAAAATAGTAAAATTGAAAATGCAAAATAAAAAATAAAATATAAAATATAAAACTACTTAGTCTTTTAACCCTTAAAAAAGGCGTAGTAGTGTCATTTAAATATTAAATAGCGGGAATATTAAATGTTGGGAATAATTTTATATGCACTTTTATCGATGTCAAGTGTTTGTAATACAATGTAATTTGAGGATAGAGATTTATTTAACTTCCCTTCTGACAAGTACGCCTTAAAAATAAAAAGCAATACATTTGTAATTAATCAAACTGTAACAGTTTGACCAGTCTAAGCTTCATCAAGAGCCGGGTTGAAGATGGTTTTCAAGCATTACAGGACAAAGACCTATATCTACTTTCATTAAATTGTTAAAATCTGTTCTTTTTTAAATTTTCGTTATTTTGTTTATAAAACTATATTTCTGGATGAGTAGTTGAGTCAATGTTTTACAATATAAATTGCAGTCTATTTTTTTAAAATGTAAAGCACCACATAATAATAACAAGAATAAATAATTCTTCTGCAAATGGTTGTTTTATTTACGGTCTGCGATTATTGAAAATGTAAATATAGTTTTGTCTTGTTTTGCTTAATAATATAACCTAAATTTAAGTTTCGTAGTCAATTTGTTTTTCTTCGTTAATTAAATAATGTTATATTTTTCTTCCTTAAAAATGAAGTTGTATACTTGAGGTTTAAACGTGTAATTGCCGTTTTCGATTCAACCTTTTTCTCTCATCTTCTCTATAAAATTTTATAAACTGTTAATTATACATTTTATTTTTCTTAGAGCTAAATATATATGTTCAAATATCACATAGTACTTGCATTTTACATGTAATTATTGACTTCTTTTATTGGTTAGGCTATTCATTGACATTAGCTTTTTCGTGTAAAATATTGTATGCAATTGGTAAAAACAACTATTATGTTATTTAGTTTAATATAAGCCATTTGATTGAAGATGATCAGTTTAATTAGCAGGTAGCTTTTTAGTTGTAGTATGAACCATATTTTCTATGTTATGATTGCAGGCAATATAAAATTGTTTGAATCGTCTGTGCTTTGTTTTTATCATTTAATATAAATGTTGAAACACTTTAAAACATCAATCAAGTTGTATGATCGCATATCGGGAACAACCGCATTCTAATGTAATTATTAATTCGCATAAAATTAATTTTGCGTGAGATAAAAATGATAGTTTCACAATGAAGTATGTGTGACACGATAAAGTGTTTAATTAAATGTAAAAAAAAATTAAAAAACCGAAAAACTGATTCTTATTTTTAACTTAAACCCATTTGTCTATAATACCCAAATGTGACACCTCGACGTTTAATATTGTAAGCTTTACTATTTTAAGTCGTGTTTGAGAAAAAAAAAATTAATAACTTTAAGCGCATGAAAATGCATGCATGATAATAAATTTAAGTATAAACACATTTTGTTTTAGTCGTTTTTAAACAAAACGCTTTTACAGTTTAGAATAATACCATTTATATAGCGCTTTTAAACCTTTTAAATGAACGAAATGCAATTATTTGCAATTAAATGTATCCAATGTTCCGCGTTTTACTGATTATACAGTTAGCTTAGGGCGTCATTGATTGTGGGTTAAAAATAGAATGAAAAATCCAATGTCGAAAATAATACACAAACTAACGACGTCATCTAAAATAAAATTCGCTTCCTACATCTTACAATTTTAGAATATGAAGACATTAACAATTCTATTTAAATTTGATTTAAATCTATATATTACTTATCAAGAAGTAATCCTACGCTATAAAATGTATACAACTTTCTCGGCCCAAAATAAAAATAAAATAAATTAGTTAAAAAAAAATTACAATTGAATAGCCAGGTTTTTTAACGGAATCATTTAAGTCAATTAATCAATGTGGGCATTTAATATGGTGTTGTGTTAATATAATGATTATAAATAATGTACGCCTATTTAATTTGGTTTTAATTTTTCTAATAGGTGTTGGAAGTGTATGTTATATTAAACGTGTCGGATTTTTAGCTGTTTAGTAACTTCTTTGCTTTGTCACTAATATCGTCCAACGTGTGGTAAATCCCATTGTATTTTGATCAATAACTATTTTATAATATATTTCTCAAACAGGTATATAGGCCTATAATTCACATGAAACGAGTAATGATGGCTAGTTATGTATAGAAATGTCAAGCAACAGTTTATTTAAATGCAATTCTTGTAATACAATACGAGACTGTATTCAAAAATTAATTGGGAAAAATAAACATAATAAACTTAACAAATTCTTTAAGTTTATTTTAGTCTTATATTGATGTAACACATACAGCTCCTAACTTTATCGATTTGATTTTTAATTGTTTAATAACCCCGATCCTCTGTGCGTTTGGTATCGTTGGAAATAGTCTTACAATACTTATTCTTATTCATAATAGACTAAATTAATCAACCAACATAGTTTTAACATCGTTAGCTGTATCGGATCTTTTCTTCTCAATGACACAAATGTGGTACCAGGTTTATCTGATATGCAACCGATTTGACACCATATCAGGATCTTATATTCTTACATACTACGTTGTGTATATTTTAGGATGGAACAAGTATGCTATATGTATAAGTATTCAAATGGTCACTTTAATAAGTGCGGAAAGATTCAATGCTGTTGTGTTTACTTTTGCTGCCTCTAGTATCAAGTGCATCGTGGTTGGATTTTTTTCTTATTCTCAGCTATATTGTATTCGCCATGAGCTTTGATGTACAGGGTTTGATGGAAAACGTATCCAGATTTAAACAACAGTACCGTCCCAGAAGTGGCATACGGTATATTTTTAAAATACAAAATGAATTTGTTTATAATTTACAATACGTGGATAATTTTCACATATGCTGTCATTGTTCCCACTTTTGTTATAGGGGTTTGCACATCTTCAATTATTATAAAGTTAACAATTTTACATAGAAATGTAAAGAATTGTTTCAATGCTGTACCCCACTCTAAAAGAATTAGGGACTTTAAATCCGTTAAGTTAACTCTCACAATTTACTTAATCTTGATTATTTTAGTTTTAATTCCAACGAATACTTATTTTATTATAGCCTAAGTAGCAAATAATTTCTTTACTTTTGATGTTTCAGTGCTTATGGATAATTTTATAATTTTGTGAATTTTGTTTACCAAATCAACTCGACAATTTTTTTGTAATATACGTAGTAATGATACCGAAATTTGTAAAACGGTATCGAAACCTAATTGCATGTGTGTAATAAAATTCGTAAATCAATGTGTTATTGGTATTTCTTCTTCAGTTGCATGCATTGTATATTAGCAAACTTCAGTTGTTTTTTTGTTGTTTTTTTTTTTTTTTTTGTTTTATGAAATATAACTCAACCTGTCAATAAAATAGTTTAAATCAATTCCTCAAGTGCGTGATTTATTCATAAATGTCCATAATATTAAAGTACGGCGCCTAATGTTTTCCCGATTGAACACTTGCACACACGCGACAAATGCCCGATCACCAACGCCATGGGCATACATGGGGATAATTTTGTCAGATATTTGCTCCCTGTTTTGAGCCAGTTAGTAGTAGACGCGTGGCGAGGGGGGGGGGGGGTGCGGGCCGTACCGGGTGACACCATTTAGGGGGGGGGGTGACACCAAGGCAAAAAATAGTAAAATATATAGAGAATTTGATGGGGGGGGTGCAAATCGAAAGTTTGAGGGGGGGGGGTGTAAATCGAAAGTTTGAGGGGGTGCGAATCGAAAGTTTGAGGGGGGGGGGGGGGTGCAAATAGAAAGTTTGAGGGGGGGGGGCTGCAAATTGAAAATTGAAAGTTTGTCCCCGGGAAGAGTCGCTACGCCTCTGGGGGGGGGGGGGGGGGGGGTGACACCATTAAGTGCCGCACCGGGTGACACCCGACCTCGCTACGCCACTGGTTAGTAGTATCGGCTGGGGCGACACAAGGATATCCTCCAAAGCCTGGCCGGCGATCCAAGCTAGATCTTACGTGTTAGCAGTCCTAAGTTCTACCATTCGACCATGCCTCCCCCCCCCCCCCCACCATTCTCATTCACTCGTCTCACTAATTTAATAGTTAAAATGGTTAAAATAAAAACTCTGCAATACTGGATCAGTAAATGAAAAATAATAATCATCAAAACATTATGATAAAAAATCGTGATAATTATGTTTTCTACATGTTTTGGCCTACTTGACTATCATGTCGACTATATCCAAGCACTCAACTATGGAAATGGCAGCTGTTTGAAAAAAGAATACTTTTCTTCTTAAGTTTACACATACAAATACATGAGACATTTTTTTAAACTCATAATAGAAACAAATTATCGAAGCTAAACTAATCCAGCATTGACACATTCGTTTCTCTAAAGATCGTCACACTACAATGAAGAAGCAAACTTATAGTCATGATAATGTTTGCGTAAAATGTTCACAATGCACATAACTTTTATACTTTGAAATATCTCGAAATGGCACGACTTTAACACAACCGCCTTTTTTGCTGTTTAATACTTACTTATATGTGCAAAACATGGTAAAAATATTCAAAAGGCTTTAGATCTTACATTGTAAAATATGGAAATAAACGGGGCATATCCCCTTATCCCTAAATCCCTTATCCACATGCCTAAATTTTACCGCTTTTTAAATGATATCTCTGAGGTTCGTTTACTTCTTGAGATAAACAAAGCGTGCAATTTTTACTTTAGGTGTTGTCCATAAATGAAGTCAGACTTCAAGGTGTTGGGGGTCGTAATTTTGTGAAAATGCGTGATGCGGGGGGAGGGGTGCATCGAGTAGGCCTATATAGTATAGGGTATGTATTTTGTCGTATGTGGTGTAACGTATAGTTTGTTGATGTATTTGTAATATAAACCACCACTTCACAGAAACTCTGTATTTAACCAAATGTCCGCGTGTGATTGTGTGGCGAAGGACTGCAGTGAAGCTACTTTGGTCGAATCTTCATTTCGCTTGTCTTCGGTGACGGACATGCTATGCCGTTACTTGGCCAAGCTAAGGGCAAGGTCCAGCGACCATTCAGGTAGCCAGAGAAACAAGTGGGACCGTAGAACCACCATCCTCCAGCGTGAGTAGTGGCACACATTGGGAAGAAGTTGAAAGGGTTGTCCCTATCGGGGGTGTAGAAAGGCACGTTGTTGTGGACAAGGTATAGCGAGTCTCCAGCATTTCCCGATCCTTTGGTGATGAACAACGTGTACCCACTAGACTCGTCGGATAGCCTGAAGCTGGCGTACGTGTAGTCGTAGTTCCTGAACGTACACTTCAGGTCAACCATCATTTCGTAGTTCTTGCTCGAGGTCATGCAGTACAGGTGTTCGTTCCCCAGGTAGAAATCTCCGTTACTGTAGTCCCCGAAGCCGTACTTGTAGTTGTTCCATCCCTGGTTAAAACTGACGTCACCTGTGACACGTCTCTGGAAGATGGTCCAGCCCCCGCCGTCTGTCTGTGTATCACACATGACCACGATGCCCGTCGAGAGCTTGACCAACTGTCGGGGGTTGCTACTGACCACGTCCTTACATGAGCGGTAAACTTTGGGGTCATCTGGGTTGTAGTTGTTGTCACTGCCGAGGGTGATGTTCATCACTGACATAAGGAACACAAAGTGAACACATTACAACATGACGATCTAAATTGAAATTAAAATTTTTATATTCAAAATTTGATGCTATACACAACATCTAAAAGGTAGTCGTTAATGTTCTTTTTGTATTAGGCGAGAGAAAATTACTAAAGCGTTGCGTTAGCTAAGTAACTTACCAAAACACTCCAGGAAATCGCAAGCGTTGAGGCCCCCGTCAGCCCGTAGCGTCACGTTCTCATGGGTGTCACAGAACTGACCAGTCGAGTAGATCTTGGTGTCCAGGTTTGGGTGTGTTATGTTGGTCGGTACAAGATAGGAGCCTGGGACAGAACAATAGCACAGTCAAGTGGGACAGGACAATAGCACAGTCAGGTGGAACAGGACAATAGCACAGTCAGGTGGGACAGGACAATAGCACAGTCAAGTGGGACAGGACAATAGCACAGTCCGGTGGGACAGGACAATAGCACAGTCAGGTGGGACAGGACAATAGCACAGTCAGGTGGGACAGGACAATAGCACAGTCAAGTGGGACAATAGTACAGTCAAGTGGGACAATAGTACAGTCAAGTGGGACAATAGTACAGTCAAGTGGGACAATAGTACAGTCAAGTGGGACAATAGTACAGTCAAGTGGGACAATAGCACAGTCAAGTGGGACATAAGCACAGTCAAGTGGGACAAAACAAAAGCACAGTCAAGTGGGAAAACATCACAGTCAAGTGGGACAAAACAAAAGCACAGTCAAGTGGGAAAACATCACAGTCAAGTGGGACAAAACAAAAGCACGGTCAAGTTGGACAGAACAATAGCACAGTCAAGTGGGACAGAACAATAGCACAGTCAAGTAGGACAACATCACAGTCAAGTGGGACAAAACAAAAGCACAGTCAAGTGGGACAGAACAATATCACAGTCAAGTGGGACAAAACAAAAGCACAGTCAAGTTGGACAGAACAATAGCACAGTCAAGTGGGACAGAACAATAGCACAGTCAAGTGGGACAGAACAATAGCACAGTCAAGTGGGACAATAGCACAGTCAAGTGAGACAATAGCACAGTCAAGTGGGACAATAGCACAGTCAAGTGGGACAATAGCACAGTCAAGTGGGACAAAACAAAAGCACAGTCAAGTTGGACAGAACAATAGCACAGTCAAGTGGGACAATAGCACAGTCAAGTGGGACAATAGCACAGTCAAGTGGGACAATAGCACAGTCAAGTGGGACAATAGCACAGTCAAGTGGGACAATAGCACAGTCAAGTGGGACAAAAGCACAGTCAAGTGGGACAATAGCACAGTCAAGTGGGACAGGACAATAGCACAGTCAAGTGGGACAGGACAATAGCACAGTCAAGTGGGACAGGACAATAGCACAGTCAAGTGGGACAATAGCACAGTCAAGTGGGACAAAACAATAGCACAGTCAAGTGGGACAAAACAATAGCACAGTCAAGTGGGACAAAACAATAGCACAGTCAAGTGGGAGAGAACAATAGCACAGTCAAGTGGGACAGAACAATAGCACAGTCAAGTGGGACAGAACAATAGCACAGTCAAGTGGGAGAGAACAATAGCACAGTCAAGTGGGACAGAACAATAGCACAGTCAAGTGCGACAGAACAAAAGCACAGTCAAGTGGGACAAAACAAAAGCACAGTCAAGTGGGACAGGACATGCTCAGAAATTGTTACAAAAACAATCTACAGTTATTTCATACGCACTAAAAAAATATATGTCTAGCGAAATGTAAGCAATACATTTTTCCCCAGTATCTGTTTAACAAAGACACTGTAAATATTGTTTTCTTTTGCTTTCATAAGAAGAATAATGCATAGCTTTGTAGTAGCAATAATTCGGCCAGAACAAGGTACTCAACATGCAGAACTGTAGATCTATTGCCGCAATCATTTTGACTGAACAAGGTACTCAACATGCAGAACTGTAGATGTATTGCCGCAATCATTAGGCCAGAACAAGGTACTCAACATGCAGAACTGTAGATTTATTTCCTCGCTGACATACACTTCAACTCACTGCCCCACAGACGATGGGTCCTAGATCGATCCAGCCCTAAGTGGATTTTCTCATCCATGGATGTTATATTTTATAAAACCGTTTTTTGAACTTGAGGATAAACTTAACCCAGGTAAAGTAGGCCAGTGTGTTCCTGACCTGAAGGTCAATGGAGCGAGCAGAACATGGAGTGCTCGTTGTGTTTAGGACATTATTAGCTGATAAATTAATTAGAGTTGTCACAAGTGTATGTAGGTCACGAGACGAAGGCCGAGTCGACTCACAATGAACCAAAATACGACACAGAATCTGTTTATACCCATTGACAATTATGAAATTCTACAGTAGAAGCTTCGGTGAAAGTAAACCAAGAACACACACATCGAGGAAAAATTCCTTGAGGCTTACGTGAACCCATAGCAGTTACCCAGGTAACATTCCCTCAATACCCCCCATTCCACGTAAACCTATAGAACATAGAACACCTTACCTAGGTAACTTAAGGGTCATCCATTTATGACGTCCACAATTTTTTTGGATTTTGGACCCCACCCCCCCCCCCCCTCCACAAAAATCCACTTTTTCCTTATAAAAGTCCATATGCGTCCACAAAAGTCAGTTTTTTCGGACCCCCCCCCCCCCCGCGTGTGGACGTCATAAATGGATGACCCCTTACCCAGGTAACTGACTCAGGTAACATTCCCTCAACACCAACGTATGTTTGTTTGTGGGTTTGTGGCTAATCTTGTAACTCAATTTTGACAGGCACTACTGGAGATTTGTACAGTCACTACTGGACAACATACATATAAATACATATATGTAGACATACATATATACATCAAAATAAAAGACGTCACATGCATTTAAAAAGCAAGTTACGTGTAATAATCAGCTAGAGTTTAAATAAAATTAATATCATTGGCCTTAACGGAAGTGAAAATAAACCGCTTAATATTATATCCTAGATGTTTATTTAAGAAAAGATCAACATCTGAGCACAAACATTGTTTGCAAATTAGCTTAACAGGCACTGGTCAGATAAATTAAAATGTCATATAATGGGGATATAGTAGCATGATGATTTGATGTGACACGTGGTTGAATAGGTAAATATTTTAATTAAAACAACATTTTTTATGTGTTGTAAATATCAAAAAGTATTCAGTTTTATTAATTAAACATACACATATTTAATTGGAAATTGAACAACTTTTGTAAATTTAACCCAAAGTTTAAGAAAGTTCTATATCCATAAGCTAAAATTCCACACTATATAAATTGTTTCTACGATAAATCTACTAAAACGTGTGAATTGTTTCTACCATACATCGAAACAACGCTAAAAGTAGTGCTAAAAAGTACTTAAGTCACCAAAAAACCCATTTAGTTTAGTTATAATACAGTTCACCCCCGTGAAATTTACTAAAAAAACATTTTTATTTTATACTAGCCGTTATCGATTAGGCTTTGCTCCAGCCATTAAAAGTCATGTCCAAATGTAAATGTTAACACATATACGTATTGTTGTTTACAAAATGATTTGAGAAAAATTAAAGAGCATTACATAATGCTATGCTCAAAACAGCAACATCGTGTGGTTCTAAAAAAAACCTAATCATCACCTGTCATTCCTCAATAACATTGTTAGTTACACAAATAAAATAAACATCAGAGTCAAAACGTTAAACAGAAAATCGCTTGTTACTTATTTTCAAGTCAAGTGAGACAATAGCACAGTCAAGTGGGACAATAGCACAGTCAAGTGGGACAATAGCACAGTCAAGTGGGACAAAACAAAAGCACAGTCAAGTTGGACAGAACAATAGCACAGTCAAGTGGGACAATAGCACAGTCAAGTGGGACAATAGCACAGTCAAGTGGGACAATAGCACAGTCAAGTGGGACAATAGCACAGTCAAGTGGGACAATAGCACAGTCAAGTGGGACAAAAGCACAGTCAAGTGGGACAATAGCACAGTCAAGTGGGACAGGACAATAGCACAGTCAAGTGGGACAGGACAATAGCACAGTCAAGTGGGACAGGACAATAGCACAGTCAAGTGGGACAATAGCACAGTCAAGTGGGACAAAACAATAGCACAGTCAAGTGGGACAAAACAATAGCACAGTCAAGTGGGACAAAACAATAGCACAGTCAAGTGGGAGAGAACAATAGCACAGTCAAGTGGGACAGAACAATAGCACAGTCAAGTGGGACAGAACAATAGCACAGTCAAGTGGGAGAGAACAATAGCACAGTCAAGTGGGACAGAACAATAGCACAGTCAAGTGCGACAGAACAAAAGCACAGTCAAGTGGGACAAAACAAAAGCACAGTCAAGTGGGACAGGACATGCTCAGAAATTGTTACAAAAACAATCTACAGTTATTTCATACGCACTAAAAAAATATATGTCTAGCGAAATGTAAGCAATACATTTTTCCCCAGTATCTGTTTAACAAAGACACTGTAAATATTGTTTTCTTTTGCTTTCATAAGAAGAATAATGCATAGCTTTGTAGTAGCAATAATTCGGCCAGAACAAGGTACTCAACATGCAGAACTGTAGATCTATTGCCGCAATCATTTTGACTGAACAAGGTACTCAACATGCAGAACTGTAGATGTATTGCCGCAATCATTAGGCCAGAACAAGGTACTCAACATGCAGAACTGTAGATTTATTTCCTCGCTGACATACACTTCAACTCACTGCCCCACAGACGATGGGTCCTAGATCGATCCAGCCCTAAGTGGATTTTCTCATCCATGGATGTTATATTTTATAAAACCGTTTTTTGAACTTGAGGATAAACTTAACCCAGGTAAAGTAGGCCAGTGTGTTCCTGACCTGAAGGTCAATGGAGCGAGCAGAACATGGAGTGCTCGTTGTGTTTAGGACATTATTAGCTGATAAATTAATTAGAGTTGTCACAAGTGTATGTAGGTCACGAGACGAAGGCCGAGTCGACTCACAATGAACCAAAATACGACACAGAATCTGTTTATACCCATTGACAATTATGAAATTCTACAGTAGAAGCTTCGGTGAAAGTAAACCAAGAACACACACATCGAGGAAAAATTCCTTGAGGCTTACGTGAACCCATAGCAGTTACCCAGGTAACATTCCCTCAATACCCCCCATTCCACGTAAACCTATAGAACATAGAACACCTTACCTAGGTAACTTAAGGGTCATCCATTTATGACGTCCACAATTTTTTTGGATTTTGGACCCCACCCCCCCCCCCCTCCACAAAAATCCACTTTTTCCTTATAAAAGTCCATATGCGTCCACAAAAGTCAGTTTTTTCGGACCCCCCCCCCCCCCCCGCGTGTGGACGTCATAAATGGATGACCCCTTACCCAGGTAACTGACTCAGGTAACATTCCCTCAACACCTTGTTGTACGTGAACCCATAACACAACTTACCCAGGTAACTTACCCAGGTAACTTACCCAGGTAACTTACACAGGTAACTTACACAGGTAACTTACCCAGGTAACATTCCCTCAACACCTTGTTGTACGTGAACCCATAACACAACTTACCCAGGTAACTTACCCAGGTAACTTACTCAGGTAACTTACCCAGGTAACATTCCTTCAAGACCTTGTTGTACGTGAACCCATAACACAACTTGTCTGAGAGTGAGCACTTGGTAGAACACGTGACCAGGGAGGCAGCATCAATTTTTGCCGAGAAGATGAGCAGCATAAGTTTACTGGAATCTTGTTTCCTGTAAGTCGTTTCTTTAGCATCTGCTGGCTTAAGCTCTGTGCATGAAATAATAAACCAATGGTAGAACACATGTATCGTCGACAAACCAGTGTTAGTACACATATAAGTAGATAAGTAGATAAATAAACATGTGGTAGTACACATTAAACGTAGATAAACCAGTGGTAGTACACATGTAAAGTATATAAGTAGATAAATAAATTAGTGGTAGTAGACGCATAATGAAATTAAACGTATATGCATATATTGCTCGAGGGACAACGTACTTTAATTTAGCGACTGAAATACGTGCAAGAAGCTGCGGATCCTTTATAAAATAACCCCAGAGAGAAGGCCTATTGCTTTTAATAAAAATATATCAGACTTTATTCTTCCTTCAAGAAACGACCAGATATTTTAACACGTTTTTATTAACTCAGCTTCGCGTGGATGTGTTTGTTGTTAAAATTGACATCGAAAATTAGCCCACTTCTGATTGCTCTATAGATCTGAAATTTGGCATGCAGGTTACTTTCGCCTAACAATTTCAGATGCAATCATAAAAACTAGCAATTAGAGACCGTAATTAGCTTAATTTAATTACGCCCAAAGGACCATAAAATTGAGGACATGATTTCTAAAGATACCGACAAGACTGGAGGCTTGTTGACACAGTTACTTCGGCCCCAATCGATGTGAGCGCGCTGGCCGTGATCGTATAGTGGTTAGTACTTCGCGTTGTGGCCGCGACAACCCAGGTTCGAATCCTGGTCGCTCAAGATTTTTTTAGTCCGTGTATTTATAAACACTTAGTCAATTCATACTTAATCAAGTCATTAGATAAAGTAGAAAATAAACTATATAAAAAACTTTTTTAAAAAACACGTTTTTCATGTGTAGCAACGGACTAAAAAGGAGAAAATAAAATACTTAAAAAAAACTTTTTAAAAAACCACGTTTTTCTTGTGGACTAAAAAGTAGAAAATAACTATTTACATACATTTGATGACAAAAAAACGTGGGTCGGGCAGATGGGTCGGGAAATTTGATGGTGAACGTACCCACGTTTTTTGTCATCAAATTTATGTAAATAGTTATTTTCTACTTTTTAGTCCACAAGAAAAACGTGGTTTTTTAAAAAGTTTTTTTTAAGTATTTTATTTCCTGATTTATTTACTCCGTAAAAGGGTTCGCCTTTTGACGTCCGTGTCATTACGAAAAAAAAAATATCAGCGACAAAAAGGGTTCTGATAAAGAGTTCTAATGATAGAAGCTTTCTAGTTAATAAAACTTTTCTTTAAAACCAGCTACCATCAGCTTGTTGTACAGCAAAAGACCCCACTCATTAGGGCTTGGGCTCCTGATGAAAATAGCCTAAATGGGGAGTATCGCTGCACATCAAGCTCTCGATGTTAATTGAAATCGTGTTGGTAAATAAACTCAACAGTTATTGCTATAGGCTGATGTTATATAGAGCAGGTGAAGCAGAGTTCATGATTCTGTGATCTTTGTCAATGAATGGATATTACATGGACTTTGGGGTCAGCATCGGTGTCTGTTACTACATGAGCACGCTGTCCTATGGCTACACGACAATATGTCCTATGGCTACATGACAACATGTCCTATGGCTACACGACAACATGTCCTATGGCCAAACGACAACATGTCCTATGGCTACACGACAACATGTCCTATGGCTACACGACAACATGTCCTATGGCTACACGACAACATGTCCTATGGCCAAACGACAACATGTCCTATGGCTACACGACAACATGTCCTATGGCTACACGACAACATGTCCTATGGCCAAACGACAACATGTCCTATGGCTACACGACAACATGTCCTATGGCTACACGACAACATGTCCTATGGCTACACGACAACATGTCCTATGGCTACACGACAACAAGGCCTATGTAAAGTCTGCTCAATAGGAACTAATGGTCTATAGAGCAGATGAAGTAGAGTTTATGTGTTTTGGCATGTGAAGGGATAATGTGGTCAGTCTCATGTCCTGCCGCCTTGATGTTCCCTAACATGTTCTTGTTTCTGTTTCTTTATGACTTTTATTCCGTCGGTTGTCATTTGTCATTTTGTCATAATTCAGATTATTATTAGCATTTCCATCACAAGGTCGTGTTTATCGTATTTTGAAAACGGGTTCTTTTGTCAGGAGCCAATACATTTAGTTTATACGAAAGATTTTTGCAAGCAAAAGTACTCGAGTTCAAACAACATTTATTTTTTTGCAAAAATTAGTATCGCCATTAAATTAAGTTTAACGATAATTACATAAAAATGTGTCAATAGAAACTAAAAAAAAAATCCCCAACAAAACTACAAAAAACATTCAACATTTAGAGTTATTAGCACAAAGATGCAAACATTAAAATATTTACTTACCTGTTACAAAATGTAACAGGAGAATTAATCCCAACTTCATCCTGCAGCAAGGAGACACAACTACCACAAAATCCTGGGTAAGCGTCAGTGCAGCAATACGTCCATGAACGGACCCTTCACCTTGACCCCTAGCCTGATTAATATTTCACGATATGCTCGTCAAGGCTAACACAGTCTCTTTTTGCAGTTCTCAACTCAACGATCTCAAGTACACAATTTTACAATCAGATATCTTTCACCTTCGAGAGGGTGCTAGTAGAATCAGATATCTTTCACTCTCGAGAGGGTGCTAGTAGAATCAGATATCTTTCACTCTCGAGAGGGTGTTAGTAGAATCAGATATCTCCCATTTGAGTTTCAGCTTCTTCATTTACATAGAGACCGTCTGGGATTTTTCGGAGCATTGTTTGTAATGTATGCAAGATGAACCGATTATGGGGATTAATGATTGAATCCACGTTTGAAACTTTAGCGGGTCACTGATCTAGAGCGCTGCAAGTTTTATGTAGCTTTAGCTGTAACGTAGCGATTCAAAGGGTACAGTGTTTACAATGATAGGACGTTTATGTCTGTGTGCGTTTGTATTTTTCTGTGTATGTCTGTGTATGTCTATGTATGTCTGTGTGTGTCTATGTATGTCTGTGCATGTCTCTATGTGCATTTATGTGTCTGTGTGTGTCTCTGCGTGTAGGGTAAGGGGTTGCGTTGAAGCCCTACTCCAGAAAGATTTTGTAGACATGAATAGATATTTGCCTAATAGTTCTCTTGCGAGTTCCTTGATTTACCCTATGCTGAGTGTCGCTCTACAAACAGGGGTTGTACAAATACCTGATGACAATTTACAGATTCCTCAAAATGTAACAGTTACTATTTGTTTTTGTTTTCAAATAGTCTCAACATATCACAGAGTTGTACAATATTAGCACAATTCACATTTGCTTAGAAGCATTTTGTCAAGATTCATAAAATCACATCTCTTTGTTTTCAAAACATTATTTCTAAACAGGTAGATCTTTTAGACATTTTTGTTGCTAAAATTTGAAATTGTCTGTGTTTGTGTAAAGTAATTGTAAGAAATGCCTTCATTAAGATAAAATAGGAAGGCCGTTGATAAGTATTTTAAATTATGTTCAGCATATCGATTCTGTTTGAGGAAAATATCGACGCAGGTGATATGCAGGCTAGTACATGCATATGGCACGTTTTATAAAGTTTGTTACAGTTACGAAACAATGTGTGTAGGGGTCAGACAATCTACATAACAGGTCACATAAATATGTAGGGGTCAGACAATCTACATAACAGGTCACGTAAATGTGTAGGGGGTTAGACAATCTACATAACAGGTCGCATAAATGTGTAGGGGTCAGACAATCTACATAACACGTCACATAAATATGTAGGGGTCAGACAATCTACATAACACGTCACATAAATATGTAGGGGTCAGACAATTTACATAACAGGTCACATAAATGTGTAGGGGTCAGACAATCTACATAACAAGTCACATAAATGTGTAGGGGTAACACAATCTACAAAACACACCACATAAATTTGTAGGGGTCAGACAATCTACATAACAAGTCACACAAATGTGGATACAGCCACTTAGCAGGTTAAACAAAAGTTTTGTTCAGGTTCATACGTGATTCCTGCAAGTTTAATAAAAAACCATAAAATGTTCTACAGAAGCTCCATTCAAAGTTCATGTCAATTTAATATTTAAATGCTTCTCGTTTTTCACCTGAGATCAATATTTTCTTTCGTCGAGCTTGCCTCGAGAGCCATCCTTCAGGTGTTGTGTACAATTGAAGTGCTTGGTCCATCTTGATCCGGCTGTAGTTGTCAGCTAATGTTCAAGTGATCTATCTTTATGAAAACAAAACACAATTTGAACCCAGTTCTTTTTGTGAGCTCATGTTTAAGTGATCTATCTTGATGAAAACAAAATACGACTTGAAGCCCGCTTTTGTTGTGAGCTAATGTTCCGGAAGAGTTCAGCGGAAGTAGAGCATACATCTTTAACTAGTCAACACATAAACACGCCACTCAGTTCCACAACACGAGTTCAAAGACCAGAAATAACAGCAGTCTTATCAGGTTATCTGGCCTTAAGCTTTCGATTTCAAAGCGCTTCCGTTTTGTTGGTCATTGATAGCTCACAAGTCTTTAGCATTACTAGGTTCAATAACTATAAGGGGAGACAATTAGAAACTTGATGAGTCTGGCGAGTTGTCTTCGCGAATGTTTTAGAAAGATGACGAAGGAACTAACTTAGGGACAGATAATTGTCTTTTAGAGTAACTGCAAAGGTGTCAAAGCTAATATTTTGTACTGGTGTGTGGTGATCTCTTAACTAAGAATAACGGAATGTCAATAAAAATATAGAGCTAATTGTTTTTAAAACTTTAATATCGATTTACTCTTATATCGATATGATTTCCAAATAATAGAGTAGAAAATAAAACAAGTATAAAAACCCGTCATAATGACAAGAAATATATATTAAAGAATAAAAAAAAAAAAAATTTAAAAGCTTTAATTTAGTTCGCAACGTATGTTTGTTTGTGGGTTTGTGGCTAATCTTGTAACTCAATTTTGACAGGCACTACTGGAGATTTGTACAGTCACTACTGGACAACATACATATAAATACATATATGTAGACATACATATATACATCAAAATAAAAGACGTCACATGCATTTAAAAAGCAAGTTACGTGTAATAATCAGCTAGAGTTTAAATAAAATTAATATCATTGGCCTTAACGGAAGTGAAAATAAACCGCTTAATATTATATCCTAGATGTTTATTTAAGAAAAGATCAACATCTGAGCACAAACATTGTTTGCAAATTAGCTTAACAGGCACTGGTCAGATAAATTAAAATGTCATATAATGGAGATATAGTAGCATGATGATTTGATGTGACACGTGGTTGAATAGGTAAATATTTTAATTAAAACAACATTTTTTATGTGTTGTAAATATCAAAAAGTATTCAGTTTTATTAATTAAACATACACATATTTAATTGGAAATTGAACAACTTTTGTAAATTTAACCCAAAGTTTAAGAAAGTTCTATATCCATAAGCTAAAATTCCACACTATATAAATTGTTTCTACGATAAATCTACTAAAACGTGTGAATTGTTTCTACCATACATCGAAACAACGCTAAAAGTAGTGCTAAAAAGTACTTAAGTCACCAAAAAACCCATTTAGTTTAGTTATAATACAGTTCACCCCCGTGAAATTTACTAAAAAAACATTTTTATTTTATACTAGCCGTTATCGATTAGGCTTTGCTCCAGCCATTAAAAGTCATGTCCAAATGTAAATGTTAACACATATACGTATTGTTGTTTACAAAATGATTTGAGAAAAATTAAAGAGCATTACATAATGCTATGCTCAAAACAGCAACATCGTGTGGTTCTAAAAAAAACCTAATCATCACCTGTCATTCCTCAATAACATTGTTAGTTACACAAATAAAATAAACATCAGAGTCAAAACGTTAAACAGAAAATCGCTTGTTACTTATTTTCCCTCTCCTAATGAGCAACGACCCCATATGATAGAATTGAAATGTACAAACTTAAAATATCGGAGTAGTATCATGTAAGAGTAACCTATAGCATTTTACACCATAATAGCAAAACATTACAAAGCGTAACATTAGCGTAAACGAACAGAAAACAATAAAATATAAGAGTGTTACAGAACATTGTACAATACAGCATACTCTATATCTAGTACAAACATATAAGCCACCAGTGTGTATTAAAAGTTAAATAATGTGTACAGAAATGCCAATAATATAAAATATCTAACTAAAAATGAGCATATAATAGAAATCCAACCATCATTTTATCTTAATTATGACAAATTTTATTTGGGCGTAAGGCGTTAGCCACACTTACCCCAATCCAGTCATTAGCCCCCTGATTAATTGCCTCCTCTCAATTACCATCTGTGTAAAACCCTCACAACACAATACGTATTACACTAACACTTATCCTCTTCTTTCCCCATAGCTATCTCCAAATCCCTAGCATTGTTGCTAATCAAAACCACTTGCTTATCTTTAATCTTCACTGTATCCTTGTTCTTTATTACATCCTATCACTACCGATGTCGTTGCCTTTACCGTTACCATAGCTTATGTCAAGGTGTAAGTAATGTCTCACTGCAGTTCTAGGCGTAGGGTATTGTCATGTGGGGGGGGGGGGTTAATTGACAGGGGGTAATTGAGATGGAACTATTGACGTTGGTAAAACGTTATCTATTTTGCAATACAAATAAATCATAGCAGTTGTTTTTTTTATTAATATTCTAGATAGAATGAGAATAGTGAATTAATAATTCCAATGTATTTAACCGTCGAAGACCTTAGGTCGAAACTGTTTGCGTTTCTCTTTCTTGAGTTTTGACATTAATGCTGTGTGCTAAAACCGCTTTAATTAACTTCTGAATAGCATTGTTAAAAAATAACATGTTTGTCAATAAAATACATAACTTATTAGTCATTATTAATTAATTTTAACAGTTATTTGAAAACAGTTCAGTATAAAATTTAAATGCACTTTTCTTTTATAAAAATGATTTTTTTTCGTTTATTGTTTTTGTATAGTCGAAGAACGGGAGGAAATTAAAAGTTTGAATGCACGGTGCAGGTAAAATTGAGCGGTAGAAATTCAAGTTTGTGTGGCTTCTGAGAGTGGGCGATCTAATTCAAGCACTTTAAAAGATTGTATAGTTTATCTAAGACCGCGGCCAGTCTAGGTTAGTTTTCGGATATTGGTATCGTTATAATTTTCCCAATAGGTTGAGGTTGAATATAACTTTTTGGCAAGAACATTTCCTCTGAAACTTTCCCACAATTACCCGATTCAATAGGTGTTTCCAGACTGTATGACAGGTCAGTAACAATAGAAAGATTTAAATCCATTCCTAAAGAAATCAAGAGATGGAATGCAAGTTGACTTTCCACAAATTTTACAGAAACTCTTTTAAAAGCCATCACAAAATTGTCATTCCTTTTTTAAACTAAATAAAATTATAGACCTAAGCACTGTTGAACAATTAAATAGTTTTTTAAATTATTTTTAGTTCTATTAATACACAAATTTAGTCAATAGAGCGGCCAAATGGATATTCTTTCAAAGAGTTAATAATCAAGGTTTGAAATTATATATTTAGTATTCAAGTAAGAAACCAATGATAACTCAAAGCGTCTGTTAAAAATCGTTCCTATTCTTTTAGAATAATTACAGATACTAGTTCCATCGTCTTCAAGATAAATACGTACACTCGAATATTTGTTTTAGATAATTATAAAATATGCTAACAACCAAAAATTACAAGTCTAGCCCAAACATGAATTATCATATTTATGTTTGAAGTGTATTAGCGATAAAGTATTAGCGCTGTGACCAGTAGTAATTGAATTTAATAGAAGGTTATTTCAAGATGCTATATATTTATTCAAAAATAAGTAAAAGCTGTAAAACAAATGTAACGTTACTTTAAAAATGTGGTTTGAACATTTATGTAATCAGTTTACCAACCAGCACTTGCGAGCACTAAAGGTGTCAGTTTTTATTAAAAACTATGATTTCATCATCTTTTGAACAAGGGCAGATAACTTGATTTCAAGTACATGTTTTGTTAGTGAATTTAGGACCATTGGTTTGACGAGTTTATAGACAGCGATTGTTGATTTCTCGCAATATTAACATTAGATAGTAGGCGTATATAACAGAAATATTACAAGCTAAGATAGCAGACAAACAGTAATAAGTGTGTTAGGGTTAGGGTAATATTTTTTAAAACCGTATACATCGTCTACATAAAACCTATTCAATCACATCAAAATGACGAAGTTTAACAGCTAAAAGAAAGAAAGCGTGTTAAATGTAGTAGTTTTTGAAAACTTTGGGCAAATGTTAGTTTAATATATAAGACCTAACGTTCTTGCACAAAGGCGAAAAAAAAAACGACAGTGTGAAAACGATCACCGTTCACTGATCTATCATTCCTTGTATTTTAAATTTTTTGTGACCCAAAATTGAGCCCTGGCAATGTGGGTATGCTGACTTTGATCAACCCACAAGCCCACTTCATGTTAGATGAAAACTTGGTAGGGAAGAGGTGTGTATTTTCATCAAAGTGGAACGTATCTGGAAAAAAAGTAAAAAAGTTTGAACTAAATCGCTGCATTAAAAGTGGGTCAAAATTGAGTTTCAAGATTCGCTACAAACCCACAAACAAACTTTTTTTTTCCTCAGACATATAATTTAATCAGTCTATAACCCACAAACAAACAAACAAACAAACAAACAGACGCTGCGAACTAAAAAAAAGCTTGCTAAAAGTATCTTCTTTATTATTTAGTTTATAGTTATTGTCATTATAACGGGTTTTATACTTGTTTTATTTTGGAAATCATATAGATATAAGAGTAAATCGAAATTAAAGTTTTAAAAACATTTAGCCCTATATTTTTCTTGGCATTCCTTTATTCTCAGGTAGGAGTTCACCACACACCAGTGCGGAAATATTTGCATTAACACCATTCAGTAACTCTAAAAGACAATTATCGGTCCCTAAGTGAGTTCCTTCGTCATCTTTCTAAAATATTCGCGACGACAACTCGCCAGACTCATCAAGTTTCTAATTGTCTCCCCTTATAGTTATTGAATATAAGAACTCGAGACAGTATTTGCATACAAACTGTATTTATGCTTCTTTAAAGTACTAGGAAAATATGCATTGACTAATGTTAAAATAGACTTAATTACCATAAGTATGTAAAAAAAGCAGATAATTAAAAAAAAAATTTAAAAAAATAAACGAAGTATCATTTTCACTTCCACACGATAAACAAGGTGCACCGTCAAAACGGCCCCGATAATATGACCCCGTCAAATCGACCCCCGACTAAACGACCCAGTCAAAATAGCCCCGTCAAAAGGGCCCCGACTTATTAGCTCCTGTCAAATGAGCTCCCGTCATATTAGCTCTCGACAAATCGGCTCCCGACATATTAGCTCCCAATATAAGGGCTCCCGACAAATGGGCTCCCGACAAATGGGCTCACAAAAAATTGGTTACCGATAAAAGTACGCGACATATTGGTTACCGACAAATGGGCTCCCGACGTATTGGCTTCCGACAAAATGACTCCCACATATTGGCTCCAGACAAATGAATCGTATGACCACTATTGGCTTAAAAGTAACCGTTTTGTCCTACCTCCACTACCACTATAACCTCTTTTGAATGCCTGAATCAAATAGTTTTTCATGAACCAACAACAATTTACAAACAAATCGAGCCCTTAACAGCTAAATTCCACCAATTTTCAAATGTTGATATTTAATTTACAACAGCAAAGATCTGTTGCTTAAAAGCGAGCACAGAAGTGTAAATGTATGATATACATGATGTTTACAGGCTAACGGTATTCTGTTTTGATAACCTACAAGCATACTGCCGGTAGAAATGCACATCGTTGACCCCTCTGCCCACACACTGAGTTGGAACAGCCTAGAACCGACTCATTTATGGAAGTCATAGATGGATGACCCTTTGAATTAAAACATACTATTTCTTATAATAGATAATCTATTACAAAAATAAGGCCTAAAGAACAAGATATGCATACATTGTATCACTTAAGAGTGTTGGAAAAGATAACTCTAAAGAATATTGATAAAGGGGTCCTACTGGTAGGTGTCATATTCAATCAGACCGTTTTGCCGGGAGACTTTGACTCTACGGAAACCGTATTTTCAGTGGTCCTTTTGTCGGGAGCCAAATTGACAGAAGCCTATTTTTCGTGAGCCAAAGTAATGGAAGCCTATTTGTCGGTAGTAGTAATTACAGGAGCCTATTTGCCGTGAGCCTTATTCACTGGAGCCCTTTTATCTGGAGCCTCTATGAAAGGAGCCTATTTTCGGGAGCCTATATGACGGGTCCATATGCTGCTGGCCCTTTTAACGGGGTCGATTTGACGGGGCTCTTATATAGTGGCCGATTTGTCCGAGACGTTTTGACTGGGCCGTTTTGACGCCGCACGGATAAACAGTGTTATTACAGACGCATATATTTGAATTTTAAAAAGTGTGTGTTGTTCACTCTTGAAAAACAGTCATAATAATATAAAATTAATTGAGTGTTTTGAAGCAGTACTAAAATAACAGCAATATTTTGCTAGCCAATAGTTTATATGACGTTACTTAATTATAAACTTATAAAATAGAATTTCACATGCATCTTCTCATTTAAAACTTAAATAATTTTGATATTTTACACTAAGACTGGTAATTTCAACGACACAGTCAGATTGAAATGCAAAAAATCTGTGTTGGTGTAAAGTTTTTTTCAGCTTTGGGGGAACGAACAAAGTATTTAAGGGGCCGTAACACAATGCAAGGTTTGTGTTGCCAATTACAGTTTATTCGAGTTCTCTCTCTTGTAAAAAGTTTTGTAATACGTCACAATAAATTCCTTTTTATCGTTGTAAAATAGGTGGATTTTTAAAAATATATTAATTAAGTTGGTAACCTGAACCACGAATTGTAGTTAGCTATCTATAAAGTGCATTACAGATTGTTTGCTTTTTAGTTTCAAAATCTTTCAGAGTTTGTTCGAAATTAACATGCCTCTCGTGGGCGAGCCAATACTGATTAAGGTGTTTATATAATTTGATTTAATACCATGGTTTAGAATTTACTCGAATATCTTCATAAATTGCTTCAATCTCATAAATATATATAGGCTATATGACAAAATGAGCCGGGAGTGATCTCTAAATTTTCTCAAATATTCTTATATAACACTACGTGGGATGGCAACTCGGAATATAGACATGATTTTTGTTTACTTAAACTTTTAATAATAGAATAAAATCTCGTAGAAAAAAGAATTGCGCACAAAGCGAACGCCAAAACAAAATGAGCATAATAGTGCGCAATATTATTAGTACTTTATAAATTTACATGCGTTTTTTTTTTGAGACATTCGAAATAGCGTAAATTAGTACTTCCGGTCAACGGAAATTACTCAAAATTTGTCATAAGGTAGAGAATTAAATCTTTTACTTACATGTGAAATTTCATTTATCTATTTGAAATAGTACTCAAGTTATAGGCTTTTGAAAAATTCAAAGTAGAAAAAGTATCACTTCAGTTTATCGGAAATCGCTCAAAAGTTGATAACGATATACGATTTTGATAAAATACTTATATATATTAAATTTCATCAACCTAGCTATAACAGTACCCAAGTTATTGTGTTTACACACAGACACAGACACACAGACATACAGACAAACGGACAAGATTGCAAAATTATGTTTTTCTGTATCAGTGAGGTGTAAAACGTCGAGATTTGTAAAAATCTCTTATTTTTTGCACGATTACAAAACTTTCTCTATACTTCGTATATACGAGAAAGTAAAAAAGTGATAAACAATTTAAAATTTGTAAGAAATAATTCTAATTTAAAACATACTACAGATGGTACAAACTTCATAAAAATTCTTTGTGATCTTCGTATTGTGTGTTTATTAATAAGTTTTAAGCATCTTGACTATTTGCTTTTCTCTTCCTCCCCACACAAAATATCTTAATCGACAATGCTTCCATCACAATTAAGGATACGTGTCAACTGGTTATGCGCCATTGAGGCCATTGACTCCGATTTAGCCTGCTTTTCGATTTGCTTCCATAGCCTTTGTCCAACCAAGAAAAACAAGGCAGCAGTTGTTTTATTTTGGAGTTGTCTCTCCTAGAAGAGTGGCTGTCCCTAGCTATCGAGCCTCATCTGCCCGAGGGTTCGAACTCGAGAGTGTTTCGGTTTAGCAACCATGAGCTTTACCGACTCGACCACGCCGAGTGAGCTTATAATTGTTACGGTCTCTGTGACGACACATAAGGGTTAAAA